ACGTCACTTTGATCTAGAAACGACGCAACCCCAAAAGTTGCGGCTCGCGAAAGGCCACATCGCCATCTCGCCCCACCTTGTCGATCATGACAAATAGAATCTGCTCATCAAGGCCGTTTGAGGCCGACCTCAATAAGCGAAGGGACTAACTGTATATGTTGAAATCTGCCCTAAAATATTTAGGGTAATAAAGCACTAAGGAATGGGTCAGTCGAGGTCGACCAAGAAGCAGCGAGGTTTGTGGTCGAGATGTCAACAACGGGCGAGATCGAATACCAATAATAGAGTCGTAACGGTTAATTTTCAAAATGAGATATTAAAGAGAATATTCTAGTGGATATTCTTTGCACTTGTACTATTAGGGTGTGTTAGGGATATGTCTCATATATATATATATATATATATATATATATATATATATATATATATAACAGTGATGTGGGGCATGCAACATTCATTTGATAAGAACAAACTTTTGATAAAAGATTCTCTCTCTTATAAAGATACAAACACTACCTTTTCATCAAGATTCTTGTTCATATTATTCCACACTTTTTCATCGGATCCGAGAATAATTCGAACATTCGAGGATTTATCTATCATTCATCATTGTCAGGAGGGACAATCATATAGTTCATCCTTTATTGGGTGAACCACTTTTCCTATTTACTTAAATGTCATTTAATGTTATTTACTATTAGTTCTCCCCATTATTGCTCACACTTTTCAGAACAGTCAATGTATGTTATAGTCAACACATTTTTAGATCTGTCTAATATTAATGAAGTTTTTTGAACTCTAGGTTTAACCCATAATTATATAAACTTTAACTCTTTTAGCCGAAATTCATATTTTTTGTCAAAAAGTCCTAGTGTAGTATTGCTTTCTATCCTATTCTAGAGTACATGTGTTGACAAATTAAGATGCAATCAAAGGTCGAAACTCATATTAAGTTATATATCTAGATCTAGCTTTCAGCATACAGTTTGAAAATTGGCAACTACTATATCTTTCTTAGCAGGAGATTGACTCTGATTATAGCAACCTTCAGGCTTCGGCATGCAGATTGATAAATACTCCCTCTGTTTCAATCGAATCGAAGTGTCTTACTTTTTTATAGTCGGTTTCAAAAAGAATTTTTTTCTATATTTAATAATTCTCTAATTCCAATATTATGATTGTTTAAGACTACATGACTGAAATGTTATTTTGATACATTATATACCTTTTTAATTTAAAATACAACATTACAAAAATCTTTCTTATTTTCTTAAATTTCATGCTTAGTCAAACCAAGACATTTAAATGGAGGGAGTATATAGAACCATTAGTATTGTAACAGATTAAACACAAACTACTTTCTATTCAATCTATGTGATGCATTTTTCTTTTTAATTTGTACAAAAAGATATATTTTTATATTTAAAAATAATTTTACTTGAAATTTCCATTTTATTCTTAATAATATGATTATAACTAGTATTAAAATATTTATAACTTATTTTAGACTATACTCCCCCACGTTTCAATTTATGTGAATCTGTTTGACTGGGCACGAAATTTAAGAAGAAATGAAAACTTTTGAAATTTGTGGTCCTAAACAATTCAAAAAGGGGTTAAGAGTATTTGTGTGGTTATAAAAGCTTCTCATTAAGGGTAGAATTATAAGTTTAAGTAAAATTATTTCTAAATTTAAAAAAGGGTCATTATTTTTTTGAAACGGATAAAAAAAATAGATTTACATAAACCGGAAGAGATAGTAATTTTTTTCTTATTTCGTGCTCAATCAAATGCATTATATAAATGAATAAGAAGATGTCTCTTAGCAGTGAGTAATGAACTCATAGCTGCTGCAGAGCAAGGAGTAGATGGTGAAGTTTGAGGGGGCTGGGGTTGAGGTAAGAGCAGCAGCTTTATGTGTAAAGATAAAGCAGTGAGATGCAAGTAGCTAGCCAGGCCAACTCATTGAGTCAGTAGTCAAAAACAGTGATTACTTCTCTACCCCACAACCACCAATGAGATGAAATGTGTGCCAAGAAATTCAGTGATTTACTACTCTGCAATACAGTGACAAAAAAAGATTTTGAAAGGACAGTAACGCGTACGACGTGTTCCCAAGGCATAGGTCAAAGGTACTAACCGATCGACAAAATTAATAAGACTGCACCTTATATTGTACCGTACCTGTCTTCACGTGTACCCCCTCTCCCCTTTGCTCTTTTGACTGGGTTTTTCACTTCTGGGGTCACTCCACGTACCACTACCCCCTCAACTCCCTCTTCTCTTCGCTCTTCATCAGCACCGTGACGAGTTTAAGGGGTTAGTTATTAAGGATGTATATGGACAAAGTTGGTACCGTTTTTATTAAAATAAAATAAAATTAATTATATCGGTTTGAATTGGTTCGATTTTATTAAATTTTTTGGATTTATGTTAAAGTTATAGATAACGTTTTGATTGGTAAATATATGATTAGTAGAAATTAAAAAAATGACAAACATATGATCTATTAAAATATTCTTATAAGAGAATTTTTTAATAACACATAATAGTTATTTTTTAGTTATCTAACAATAACTTTTATTGATGTACGCTTTCCAATTTGACCGAATTTAATAATTAGACATAAAAATCAATATGATACACAAATAAATTAGCGAAATACCATTTCAAATTTGAAAAAGATATAAGAAATCTTGACATATGAATATGGAAAAATAAAGATATGATTGACGCATTTCAATAATACTTTATAAGAAAATGATACAACTCATTATTTAAGTTAAACAAAAATGAATGAACTACATAGTTCTATTAAATATTATCTCGTGAGATAGAGGATCCCACATATTTCTAGATAATTTTTAAAGAAAATTTTATATAAAGTCTTAAAAATACATATAAAAATTATATATTTATATGTCGTTTTGGTTCGATTTTTTAGTAATTTTCAAACCAAATCAAACCAAAATTAATCGGATTTTTTAATCGATTTGGTTTGACTTTTCGGTTTGGTACGGTTTTTCGGTTCGGTTTGAACACACCCCTAGTCGTTGGTTATAGAAATTAGGAGATATCGCATTAATTATAAAATTTGAGATTAATTTAATCTAGCTAGTCAAACGATCCCTATATATATAAAACTAGTTATAGTAACGTACTATATAACATCATAATTCAAATTACATACATAAATGATCTACAAGTATGTACGAGTATTAATAATACGTACTTTTTTGTATTTTTTTGGTGTCAATATTGAAAATAATAATACGTATGAACAAAATTCTAAGGGAAGGAAAGCCGTTCATGTACTCTACATATTTCTCATTGTTTGCACTCTTGACGTTATTTCTTCATTTTTCTTTTGATTTTCCAATTTATTGTGTTCACTCACTCAATGATTAAATAACGAAGAAAATGTTTTGAACATTAAATAAGAGTGTATGTCAATTTTTTCGAAGTGGTACGAAGAAGCACAGGTGGTTTGGAGCCTCTACAAAAATAAAATATTTCAAGATGAATAAAGAAAGATTTTTTTTTTAAAAAGATTTCAGATCAATTTAGAAAGTACTACTACTCTAATAAGGACGAAGCTAAAGACGTTTTCTTTACCCAAAAAAGAAAAGAAGCCACAAACATTTTTCTAGGGTAAAGAGCATCAATTGTGCACTTGTGCTTAAACTTTTACTAATTTAAATATGTTTAACTCACTAGTCTTAGAATACACATATATCTCTTTTCAAGGATTACCAAATTTTAACTATCATTTTGTGTTTGAGATATACAATAAAATTTTCTAAAAAAGTGTATAACCTAGTTGTCGATCCTAGTTAGTTAACTCAATAAAAGAAAAAGTTATGCGATAGAAGTCCTCACTCATCTCTCTCAAAATATTCAACTTAAATTATTTCATTACTTCAATTTCAAAACATATTATGCTTGCTTTTTAATTTCTTCAAGAACAAATAATCCTAGATCTAGAGTTAATGGCTTAAAATATTTAATACTGACCTCGTTGTATTTTTTAAATTATAAGTTCATAATTTATGTTACATGTCAAAAATTATGAATTCGATTGAACGCATGCGTAGCACAAAGGTCCTATCTGCCTCTTTGCCATTTCTTGTTAACTTTCTAGGAAGTGAATTATGGGCAGAGCTAACAAATTATTTGTAATGATCCGGCCAGTTGTTTTGAGTATTTTAGCCTCATTCTCTTATTTATTATATCCTCTATGTTGTATTGTGGTTATGTGACTTGCCGGGGTGTTTGATTTTGGTTTCGGGTGAGTTTCGAAGTGCAATGGGACACTTAATCCGTAAGTTGGAAGTTTGAGTTAAAAGAGTTGACTGTAGTTTGACTTTTGTGTAAACGACTCCGGAATGGAGTTTTGGTTGTTGCAATAGCTACGTATGATGATTTTGGACTTAAGAGCATGTCCGAATTTTGATTTAGAGGTCCGTAGGTCATTTCGGCTTGAATTGACGAAAGTTAGGAAGTTGAATGTTTTGAAAGTTGAGGAGTTTGAAGTGGAGTTGACTTTATGAGATTATATAATTGTGGGACTGATTATAATCTCACCTCCTATATGAAATAGCTAATAATTGTAAGTATTTGATATAAGTTTATTCTGATTTGAGTAAATTTAGGTGTATAAAAAACATTAGATTAATTCTATAAACTTTAAACCCTTACAGTAAAACTAATACACAATGTGCGTAGAGTTATATTGCCAATTTATTTAATCAAAGTTGAAGAGTAAGCTAGTTTTTGGTTACACTTGTATATATGGAAACATCTTTACTAGAGGTAAGACAAAACTTCAAGCAATATCGTCCCCTGCCCACTCTATCGGCGAAAAAAAAATAAAGAAAAAGAATAACCTATTTTTGGAAGAAATTTGAATAGTTTTCTAACTACAATATTTTTAATTATTTATTATATAGTAACAGATTCTGAAAATATGGTTCAACGAGATAGAAGATGTTACCGAAAAAACAATAAATATTATTACAAATCACTGATTTGCAATAAAACATAATAATTTTCTTCCAAAACAAGAATGCACAAGGTCACAGGAATCTCTACATAGGTTCAAAATTGGAGTCCACGTTCGACTGGCTTTCATATTTGACACAAGAACAGCTTGTAACTGTATGCAGGAATATCATATCGTGCCCCAAATTTGCCAATCCAAATTCACCTATAAGGTTCAGAGATGTAGGAAAATATAAAAAAATAGAAATAAAAATAAGACACACAGAGAACCCTAAAACGGAACATTCCTCTGAATGGCCATAACAACAAGGGGATTCTTCATCTCACAAGATAATTTCAGAACTTCTTCCAAGTCAACTGGATGGATTTCATCCTGGACCCACTCGAAATTCTGCAGCAACTTGGCCACCCACAGCATCACTATGACCAATCCTAAATTCTTCCCCGGGCACACTCTCCTCCCTGCCCCAAACGGTGCCAAGCGGAGGTCACCACCTCTCACGTCAACATTCGCACCACCTTCAGCCTCCATGAAACGCTCAGGCTTGAACTCAAGTGGATTTTCCCACACATCGGAATCATGTGTAATAGCCCACATGTTAACCATTGCTGCCGTATGAGAGGGAACAACCATGCCATTGCTTAGTTGAACGTCAGTTGTAGAAAGTCTTGCCCAGGAGAGAAGTGGACCTGGTGGATGAACCCTTAAAGTCTCCTTCACAATTGCCTGTAAGTATGGCATCCGAGCAACGTCAGCATCAGTCACGGCTTTACCCATTGTGACATCATCAACTTCTTTTTGTAACTTCTTCAGCACCTTAGGGTGTAATATAAGCTCAGCCATAACCCACTCCGTTAAGAGTGCCGTAGTATCAGTTCCTCTAAAAATCATTTCCTGCATAACATTAAATGAATTTACACAATCTGCATAATTAGAACCACATAAAAAGTTTTTCACATTTAAGTACAACCATTTAACTAAATACAACTTGCTAGTCAAGACAATATTTAACGTTTCAAAATTACTCACCTATATTTAATGTGAATAATTACGGTTATGTAACTATATTATTTTTACGTACCCATAGAATGGCAACCATGTCATCTTCCTCTAGCTTTTCTGCTTCATCAAGAGATAAAAGAACGTCCACAAAATCTGCATTATCCGACACCGTTTTGGATTCAGCACTGCACCTGTGTTCCTCAATAATGGCTTTGACAAGCTTTCGTACACGTGGCACAAGAGCTTCACAACGTTGGACAATACCGGAAGGGTCATAGAAAAACCTCAGCCACGGAAGATAATCAGACCAATTAAAAGCACCCAATAATTCAAATCCTTCCTTCACCATATCTTGCAACTCCTTTAGCTCTTTGCCATTTTTATTATAGCGTTTTCCAAAAACACTTCCCATTATATTATTCAAAGCAGCCAACTGTAAATGTTTCCTCAAAGAAACTGTCCCATTTTCCAACTGTTCATTTACTATGTCACGTATCATAACGGAGCAGTCAAGTTGACGGCCCGTTTCATGCGCCGCAATTCGCTTTGGTGCAAAGAGATGCGACGAAGCAATACGGCGCAGCAAACGCCAATAAGTTCCATTAGGAGCGAACCCGATGGCTCGGCTAAACATAAGGCTCTTAGCGGATTGTTTAATGGGGCGATCAGCAAACTGAGGAGAAGTTAGAATCTCTTTAGCTATTTGAGGATCGGAGGACACAACTACAGGGGTGGAACCAAGGCTAAAAGCCATAAGCTGTTTAGCTTTTTGAGTCCAAGCCGCGGAGGCTAAAGAGCGATGAGCCAAGCCGCGGCTTAGAGTGAAAAGGCTACCGATAATTGGAAATCCACGGGGTCCAGGAATTGGGATTTTTCCACTATGGTTACGACCATTTTTCCAAGCTACACCCCCGGGGGAACAAGCCCAGGTGATTAGAGTGATTGACAGAAAGGCTAAAACAATGGAAATGATAACATATTCGTCAAGAAAAGTTTTCGAACCAAGAAATGCTGGTAGTGTAAATACCCACCAGTTGGAATCCTTTGTCATCATAACCAAATCCATGAAACCAAAGAAAATGAAAGGTTTTAGACAGAGATACTAAGAGAGAGGGGAAGAGACTCAAGAGAAAGAGAGAAAGATAGAGGGAGAGGAGAGATGGAATTTTTGATGTTTTAAAATGAAAAGTTTACTGAGTTTAAATAGGCTGGGAATTGGAAGGAGGCAATCAATGAAAATTGAGTCAAATTCATTGACTTACCATAAAATATTTAGTAGTCATATTAAAAAAAGTTTTAGTAATCTTATTCATCAAAATCTTGTGATAAATCATAGGTAGAAAGCATTTCTTTTGAACATCTTACCATAAAATATACTATATGGTAACCTTATTACATTATTATCTTGCTATAAAAGAAAATTCCAGGACTTTCGGTTTGGATTTTGTTTTCCAAGTCAAAAGATATTAATGGAACTTCCATATATAATAATGATAAGAGACTATAGCTTTATAGAAAACTACTGAAATACTAGAGATAAATTAGGAAAAATAATTAATATATTATCATGTTTAGCTAAATATCTAGGAATTTATCACATCACCTTTCTTAAAATTAGAATTATACATACATAAATGATCTACAAGTATGTATTAAGTTAGACCATAGACCATTTCGTGTAGAGTCAAAAGAAATTTCTCGCTTCTCCGACGTGGCTTTTTTGTATATTTTTGGTGTCAATATTGAAAATAATAATACGTATGAACAAAATTCAAAGGGAAGGAAAGCCGTTCATGTACTATACATATTTCTCATTGTTTGCATTCTTGACGTTATTTCTTCATTTTTCTTTTGATTTTCCAATTTATTGTGTTCACTCACTCAATGATTAAATAACGAAGAAAATGTTTTGAACATTAAATAAGAGTGTATGTCAATATTTTCGAAGTGGTACGAAGAAGCACAGGTGGTTTGGAGCCTCTACAAAAATAAAATATTTCAAGATGAATAAAGAAAGATTTTTTTTTTTTAAAGATTTCAGATCAATTTAGAATGTACTACTACTCTAATAAGGACGAAGCTAAAGACGTTTTCTGCACCCCAAAATAGAAAAGAAGCCACAAACATTTTTCTAGGGTAAAGAGCATCAATTGTGCACTTGTGCTTAAACTTTTATTAATTTAAATATGTTTAACACACTGATCTTAGAATACGCACATTACATATATATCTATTTTCAAGGATTACCAAATTTTAACTATCATTTTGTGTTTGAGATATACAATAAAATTTTCTAAAAAAGTGTACAACCTAGTTGTCAATCCTAGTTAGTTAACTCAATAAAAGAAAAGTTATGCCATAGAAGTCCTCAATCATCTCTCTCAAAATATTCAACTTAAATTATTTCATTACTTCAATTTCACAAGATATTATACTTTTTTAATATCTTCAAGAACACATAATCCTAGATCTAGAGTTGATGGCTTAAAAGTTTTAGTACTGACCTCATTGTATTTTTTAAATTAGAAGTTCACAATTTATGTTACATGTCAAAAATTATGAATTCGGTTGAACGCATGCATAACACAAATTAAAGGTCATTTCTAGTTAACTTACTAGGAGATGAATTATGGGCAGAGATAACAAATTATTTGTAACGATCCGGCCAGTCGTTTTGATTATTTTACTCCCGTTCTCCTATTTATTGCCTCCTCTATGTTGTATTGTGGTTATGTGACTTGCCGGGGTATTTAGTTTTGGTTTCGGGTGAATTTCGGAGTGAAATGGGACACTTAGTCCCTAAGTTGGAAGTTTAAGTTGAAAGAATTGACTGTAGTTTCACTTTTGTGTAAACGACTCCGGAATGGAGTTTTGATTGTTCCAATAGCTACGTATGGTGATTTAGGACTTAGGAAAGTGTCCGGATTTTGATTTAGAGGTCCGTAGGTCGTTTCGGATTGAATTGACGAAAGTTAGAAAGTTAAAGATTTGGAAGGTCGAGAAGTTTGACCGAGAGTTGAGTTTATGAGATTACATAATCCTGGGACTGATTATAATCTCTCCTTTTATATGAAATAGCTAATAATTGTAAGTATTTGATATAAGTTTATTCTGATTTGATTAAATTTTGGTATATAAAAAACATTAGATTAATTCTATAAACTTTACACCCTTACAGTAAAACTAATACACAATGTGCGTAGAGTTATATTACCAATTTATTTAATCAAAGTTGAAGAGTAAGCTAGTTTTTGGTTACACTTGTATATATGGAAACATCTTTACTAGAGATACGACAAAACTTCAAGCAATATCGTCCCCTGCCCACTCTATCGGCAAAAAAAAAAAAAAAAAAAAAAGAAAAGAAAAAAAGAATACCTATTTTTGGAAGAAATTTGAATATTTTTCTTACTACAATATTTTTAATTATTTATTATATCGTAACAGATTCTGAAAATATGGTTCAACGACATAGAAGATGTTACCGAAAAAACAATAAATATTATTACAAATCACTGATTTGCAATAAAACATAATAATTTTTTTCCGAAACAAGAATGCACAATGTCACAGGAATCTCTACATAGGTTCAAAATTGGAGTCCACGTTGGACTGGCTTTCCTATTTGATACAAGAATAGCTTGTAACTGTATGCAGGAATATCATATCGTGCCCCAAATTTGCCAATCCAAATTCAACTATAAGGTTCAGAGATGTAGGAAAATATAAAAAAATAGAAATAAAAATAAGACACACGGAGAACCCTAAAACGGAGCATTCCTCTGAATGGCCATAACAAAAGGGGATTCTTCATCTCACAAGACAATTTCAGAACTTCTTCCAAGTCAATTGGATGGACCTCATTTGGGACCCACTCGAAATTCTGCATCAACTTGGCCACCCATAGAATCACTGTGACCAATCCTAACATTAGGAGCCGTTGCGAAATGCTAAATGATGTACGACCATCTTTTGTTAAGAATAGTCAAGCCTCCTAATATCGATTACGTAGCTTCTTGTTGATTACATTACCGTTTCATTTAATCATAATCAATGGGCATTTTTGATTTATATATTCTCAAATGGGAGTATGATGTATCTGAAAGATATGAATAACCTTTTACAACTTTCAAACATATTTAACTGATTTTGATGATAAAAGTGTGAAAGAGTGGATCAATCATCAATAGTAGATTACCAAATATTGAAAAAACAATAATATTATTATTAATAGCTGACTTGCAACAAAGCGCAATATTTCTTTCTGAAATAAGAAAGCATGCACAAAGTCATGACTCTCTATAAAGGTTCAAAATTGGAGCCCATGCTATATGCAGGAATACTACTAATGCTAGACACATCTTCCATATCATATCCTGCCCCAAATTTACCAATCCAAATTCAACTATAAGGTTCAGAGATGTAGAAAATATAAAAAAAAATAGAAATGAGTAAAAATAAGACACACACGGAACCCTAAAACGGAACATTCCTCTGAATGGCCATAACAACAAGGGGATTCTTCATTTCACAAGACAATTTCAGAACTTCTTCCAAGTCAACTGGATGGATTTCATCCTGGACCCACTCGAAATTCTGCAGCAACTTGGCCACCCACAGCATCACTATGACCAATCCTAAATTCTTCCCCGGGCATACTCTCCTCCCTGCCCCAAACGGTGCCAAGCGGAGGTCACCACCTCTCACGTCAACATTTGCACCACTTTCAGCCTCCATGAAACGCTCACGCTTGAACTCAAGTGGATTTTTCCACACATCGGAATCATGTGTAATATTCCACATGTTAACCATTGCTGTCGTATGAGAGGGAACAACCATGCCATTGCTTAGTTGAACGTCAGTTATAGAAAGTCTTGCCCAGGAGAGTAGTTGATATGACACGTGGTCGTCTAAAGAGAGGACACGTGGAACCCAAGACGGGGATGGCCAAAGACCGAACGCAGCCATTACGCTTGTCACCGGAAGGATAACGTTCATAAAAGGTGTGTTAAATGTTCTGCGCCCGGTAGCATTTAATAGGAAATATTCTGCAGCATTAAGAGCGATGGTCCGTTACAGAGAATTTATCATTTATTCTCACCGTTACGTCTTCATCAATGACCCTCATAATTGACATTAAAGGAGGGCACGATCCTAGGACCTTCTTCCCTAGATATAGCTATAAATAGTGAGCTCAATTATCATTGTAATGGACACGAATTTTCTGGCAAAACTTATATTATATTCTATACAAAACTTAATACAATCTTACTTTCTTACTTTTTGATCTCATCCTTGCTGTGCCCGGAAACCTTGTTCCCGGAACTGTCATCTCTGTCGTTTTGTTTGTATTTCAAGGCTAAGTATTGTACATTTCTTCAATTATTGCATTGTTTTAGGATCAAATTATTTCACTTGTCTAGAAATCGCGTATAAATTTAACTGTACCGTTTTACGGATAAATAGTTTGGCGCCCACCGTGGGGCCTAGACAGCCGTGCAATTAAATTAATCCTTGTCTTTTTTACTAACATGATTTGATTATTTTGTTTTAGAAAAATTCGTAAAAAAAAGGCAGATAACACCATTAACAACACGTACAACCCAGAAATTCGAGGGGATCAGCCTCATTTCGAGGATTCAATCAGTGATACCCGCAACGAGAAAAATGACGCCACGTCGGTGCATGACAAGCAGAACCCTCGACAGGTTCGAGAGACAACTCCCGATAAGGAGCATGTCGTGGATGCGGTGAAGATCATGCGTGAACAACAAGCAATCATTCTAGGCCATCTCACGTGGCAGGACCAGGTTATGAAGGAACTAAAGCAGGCACTATTAGAGGCTTCAAATAATGCAAACAGATGAAATCCAATTCCTCTCGGTGCTCTTGCAAATCAAACAACGTAGAGAGTCGACAACAACTCTCCTATGGGCGAAGTTGGCTCCGACGAGGCCAGGGAACCAGATCCGATCTCAACAACGAGAACGATCCGTTCAAGAATGAACTGTTACGGTTTATGAGGGAAGTAAATTCCTGCATGGACCAATCCCGGGCGCGCCACCAATATTGAAGGGCATGGACTCGAAGAAGTATACTCAATTACCGTACAAGCTAAGTGCGACACCAGAACTA